CCTCTCCCTCCCCCCCGCCCCCAGATGGCTAATGGTAGCCTCAGCTTACATCCTGTCCCAGGGCAACCAAGAGGAAGATGTTCTTTCCTGATACTCCCAGCACAATCCTAAATCTCAGTGGATTCGCATGGCCACATCCTCACCCCAACCCAGTCACTGGGCAGAAGGCAGGAATGCACTGCTGGCTAGGCCAGGGTCCCATGCTCCTGTCTCTGTCCCCTGAGCATCCAGAAGGAGAAGGGTGGTCCCAGAAAGGTGCCTGTCCAAGTCAGCCAGGTGGTAGCTGGGAGATGCCAGTGACCAGACACCAGGAGACCAAAACAACAGCTGGTCCCAACTCCATCTACATCAGGAGATAGGCTTGTATCCCTCTCCTCTGCCAAGAAACAGCAGGTTTTCATTTACATACTATTTGATTATCATTTGCATATTATTTGCAGTACTGGTTTATGAGACCCTGGGGCTGCAAGACCTAGGAGTATTAGACTTTTACCTCTCATGGCTGCAAGAGGGTCAAGATGCCACAACATGAGGAGAGTCTACTAGTCACCAGAGGAGGCCCAGCACAGGCAGTTTCTCAAAGTGCCAGGAGCCAGAACTCAAGAGCTTGATGAGGTCTGGCAGGCTGCCTTAGAGAGGCAGGCTTCGTGTTGGGCGTGGGAGGGAAGGAACTGGATAATGAGTGCCAGAGAGGTGGAGGGAAAGGCAGGGAGCAGGCAGCAGGAGCTAAGGAGTGATGGAAGTGACTGTGTCAAGGGTTTATATGAGGGTGGAGGGGTGGGGTGAGGGCAGTAGGGAGACTTCAAAGAGTCTTAATGCCAGGACAAGGACTGTGAGACAGGTGTGCAGGCAAAGGGGAAGTGGGGAAGATTTTTGAGCAAGAAACAGACTTGACAAGTATCGTGTTTGGGGGAGGTGACTGAGCCAGTGGGGCATGGAATAGATTGAGTAAGCAATTGAATCCTTTGGGCAGGAGATCCAGACCCCTCCCTCACATAGGAGGGACTAGTTAAAACCTGAGAGCCATACCAGGAGGCAGGACCTGGCCTTTGCAGCTCTGAGATGCCTCTGCAGGCCCAGCAGCTCCTTCCACACTGGACTCCCAGGAGCAGACCCAGGGAGGGGAAGAGGACTCTGCCCTGCCAAGCCTACCATACCCAGGGAAGCAGGAGAGGCAGAGCAAAAAGTCTTGTAAGGATGCCCAAGGCCTGACCCAAACCCCTCCACGATGACCCGACCCGATGGTCCACCAACTTATAGTTGGATTCACCTACCACATCGGCTATCTTGGTTACTGTTTTCAGAACTGACTCTTGAATACATCAATCAAAGCTTGCCTCTGTTCACTCAGTATCCTAATTCTACCCTTTGGACCAGATGAAACTGCTGATCTTTCTTCCTTCACCTCCAGAGGCATCTGCAAAGATGTCTACAACCCTAGCCTCCGCTCTTCCTGTTTTCCCCTCTCTGCCTTAGACGTGGCACTTCTGTTAATATAGTCCCAAATCACATTTACCCTTTGTAGAGGGGTCTGCTCAGCCTATAGATGGGTATGGAGAGGAAGAGGAAAACTCCATCTGAAAGTGCCCACTCAATATGAAAATGCTCCACAGTGACTCACAGCCCCAGTGCCTCCATCACTCTAGCCCCTACTGCAAACCCTCCCTCAAGCTACATAAGGGCAGGGGTTTGTCTCTAAAGACCTGAGCCCAGAGAGGAGCTGGAGCTATTACAGTTCTAATAACTTTCAGGGCCACCCTAAGTTGACACCTGCAATGGAATCATCATCCCTGTCCACATCAACAGCCTGAGACACTCAGTGTCCAAGCTAGCCCTGAAACAGCCACTCAGGCCCAGATCCTCCCAGCTCCTAAGAGGGGTGGGGTAAAGATGAGGATGTGCCTGGGCGAAAAGCAAAATGTCAGCGGAGCAAACCCTCTTTCAAATGCAGGGCTTGGTGGTAATCCCAGCTCTCTGGATGTGGAGGTTCAGTTCAAAGTCATCCTCAGCTAATAAAGCAAGTTCGAGGCCAGCCTGATCTACAAGAGACCCTGTATCGAGAGAGAGAGAGAGAGAGAGAGAGAGAGAGAGAGAGAGAGAGAGCAGGGGCTCGCTTGGGTCCTGAACCATGAGAAAATAGAGTCCTCTAGGCCTTTGGGCTACAGATCGCATTGATAGGGGTTAAAATGCCCTAACCCGAGGCTGGAGAGATGGCTCAGCAGTTAAGAGCACCTGCTGCTCTCACAGAAGACCCAGGTTTGATCCCCAGCACCCACATGTCAGCTAACAACCATCCCTTAACTCCAGTTCCATGGGAATCCGACACTCTCTTCTGACCTCCATGGGCATTGCACAGCGCGGGTGCACTTACATAAATGCAATACACTCATACACATAAAATAAAAATAATAAATGTTTAAAAAATGAAATGCCCTTACACCTATTAAGGCGCTTTTTTAAAAGGAGGGGGCTAAGAACTACTCCACTAAGGGAAGAAGCCGTCAGTTGAGAAATCCCGATGGCGTTTGTCCCTCACCCCAACCCGGGGATTGAGGATGCCACCTTTCCCTGGGAATCCAGGGCTGTGCGAGGGGCAGGTGAGACCTAACCACGGATGGGGAAAGATGAGAGGGAACGCCGGCTGCTTTGCTCGACTAACCGCTTCCTGGCGCCTGCTTGCGCCGGTTTCATGGATGGAGCCTCTTTAGACCCCCGCCTAGGAAGAAAGCCCAGGGCCAGGCTGAGGATGCGGCGAGCAGGCGGGGGCGGGGCGGGAGCCGGAGGGGCGCGGCTTGCGCTCCAGGGGCGGGGCTTGCGCCAGGGCCCGCCCCTCGCCCTCTTCTGAGCAGATCGGGCGCCCTCTGGCGGGGAAGGCCGACCTGGTCGCCCCGCGCCCCTCGCCGGCGGCCGTTGCCCCCACCGTGCACACTGGGTGCCCGCGGACCCGCACACCCGGACCGACACACGGACACTCCCTGGAGCCGCTGCGCGAGCGACGAGCGAGCACCGGGGAGGGAGGGGGCGGGGAGGCAGCGGCTGCGGCTTGAGCAGCAGGAGCAGGTGCGGCGGCGCCGGGCGGGGCCGTCGGGCGGGCGGCGGCGCAGCCGGGAGGCGGTGACTCGGAGCCAGCGGGGCCAGGGCGGCGGGGGGCGAGGGGATTCCGAGCGCAGGGGGTGGCGGGGGCGACCCGAAGGGCGCGGGATCCCAAGGAGACAGAGAGGACGAGAGCCGGACGCGGATCCCGGGAGCGGCGGGGGCGCTAGGGGGGGGGGAGCCTGGGCGCACCTGGAGGGGACAGTAGGGTGGTCTGGACATGGAGCTGGAGCTTTAGGGGGACAGGAGCCCGAAATGGGTGAGACTGGAGAGCTGCGGGGGTCGGGTGAGGGCTGGTAACCTGGACGATCCGGAGGTGACAAGTTCGGAGGTAGGTTGAGAAGGACGGTGAGCCAGGGAAAGGGGTTCCAGGGGAGAGATTAGGGGTGGTCAGATGGTAGAGGACAGCTGGGCGGGGATCTAGAGCCAGGTGAAGAGCGGGCTGGGCGGGGATCCATAGGCCTTGGGCAGGTGGACTGGCATCTGGAGCTGGTGTCCAGAGCAGCTGGACCCCAGTGGGGCCGTATCAGGGGTGAGACTGGCACAGGCTTAGGAGAGGCAAGAGGATTCAGGGAGGGGACCTAGGCCAAGTCAGTGCAGTGTCCCCCATGGGGGAAGCCCCTCCCGGGGGTTGCCAGAGCCATGCTGTCCCGAAAGGGCATTATCCCGGAGGAATATGTGCTGACCCGGCTGGCAGAGGACCCTGCAGAGCCCAGGTACCGAGCCCGGGAGAGAAGGGCCCGCTTCGTGTCCAAGAAAGGCAACTGCAACGTCGCCCACAAGAACATTCGGGAGCAGGGCCGCTTCCTGCAGGATGTGTTCACCACGCTGGTGGACCTCAAGTGGCCCCATACGCTGCTCATCTTCACCATGTCCTTCCTGTGCAGCTGGCTGCTCTTTGCCATGGTCTGGTGGCTCATCGCCTTTGCCCACGGTGACCTGGCCCCCAGCGAGGGCACCACTGTGCCCTGTGTTACCAGCATCCACTCCTTTTCATCTGCCTTCCTTTTCTCCATCGAGGTCCAGGTGACCATTGGCTTTGGCGGGCGCATGGTGACAGAAGAATGTCCCCTGGCCATCCTGATCCTCATCATGCAGAATATCGTGGGGCTCATGATCAACGCCATTATGCTGGGCTGCATCTTCATGAAGACTGCCCAGGCCCACCGGAGGGCGGAGACCCTCATCTTCAGCAAACACGCGGTGATCACCCTGCGTCATGGCCGCCTCTGCTTCATGCTGCGCGTGGGTGACCTCCGCAAAAGTATGATCATCAGCGCCACCATCCACATGCAGGTGGTGCGCAAGACCACCAGCCCCGAGGGCGAGGTGGTGCCCCTGCACCAGGTGGACATCCCCATGGAGAATGGCGTGGGTGGGAACAGCATCTTTCTGGTGGCCCCGCTCATCATCTACCACGTCATTGACTCCAACAGTCCGCTCTACGACTTGGCACCTAGTGACTTGCATCACCACCAGGACCTGGAGATCATTGTCATCCTGGAAGGCGTGGTAGAAACCACTGGCATTACCACCCAGGCACGCACCTCCTACCTAGCTGACGAGATTCTTTGGGGGCAGCGCTTTGTCCCCATTGTGGCCGAGGAGGATGGGCGCTATTCGGTGGACTACTCCAAATTTGGTAACACTGTTAAAGTGCCCACACCACTCTGCACAGCCCGCCAGCTTGATGAGGATCGCAGCCTGCTGGATGCCCTGACCCTCGCCTCAGCCCGTGGGCCCTTGCGCAAGCGCAGTGTGGCTGTGGCCAAGGTCAAGCCCAAGTTTAGCATCTCACCGGATTCCCTGTCCTGAGTTGCATTCCCTCAGGACCCCCACTCACTTATGCGGGCATACGGAGAGTGCCCTATGGTACGTAGAGTGGATGGAGTGTGAGCTCCCTCACCAAGCGAGGGTCTGGTGTGAGGCTGGACCCTACTCAGTTCAGCCCCTCTGCTGCTCTGTGCCCAGAGTGTTACACGGCACTTGTCACTATGCTATTTCTGGCCTCAGCAGGAGCCTGTACTGGGTTATTTTTGTTGCTGCTCCTCCCAGCCCCAGCTCAGAACCGGCTTACCCTTATCTCTCTGCCCTAGGTTGGGGAGGCTGTAGGAGGTCTGGAGCCCCTAAAGCTGGGTCTCCAGCCAGTCTTGGCCCCCACAATCATCCTGTTAGGACAGATAACTGGGGAAAAGCAATCTCCAGGCTGAAGGTGGCTATTGCTCTGTTTCTATACACACTAAGAAATACCTGGCCAGGCCCAGGCCCTGCTTAGTCCTTGAGAAAGTGATGGGCTAAAGAATCCTGCCAGCCAGGAAGGCAGAGGGTGAGTGCATGGGAGCTGAGGGGCCTATCTAGGCAGGGCAGAATGAGGTGGTAGCCTAGGCCCCCCTCCATGGAGCAGGCTTGGTCACAGAGTGGGGCAAAGTGGGAGGGGAATCACAGGAGAGCCTGTTGGTCCCTGCTCAGGCTCAGTGAGCAGGAGATGGGCCAAGGCCATGGCCCTTCAGCCTGGACACCAGCCTGAGAGACTGAGAGAGAGAGAGAGAGAGAGAGAGAGAAACCATAATCTGGGACTGCTGCTCCCATTCTGTTCCTACCCTGGAACTGAGGGTAGGGTGCTGGGCAGACACTGGTATTCTTGGTTGAAAGGCTGAGAAAGGTCCTATGCCTGCCATACAAGATGAGCTCCCGACAAAACTGCTCCTGGCTCCTCATGGGTAGCTGTGAGTCACTTTGTCCAGAGGATGCTGATGGGTGAGGTTGGGATGCCTGGGTTGTTGGAATACAAGATAATGGAAAGTTCAGTCTGGTGGGGGGAAGGGAGGTTCCCCGAGGCAAAGAGGCCCCTGGGCTTGACCCAAGCTTAAATTCTCAGAGCAGGGCTGTGTGTCCTTGCCCAGAACTCTGCTTCCGCATTGTCAATAAAGCCTCCCATTCGACAACCTGAGCTCTGGGCTGTTCTTCTGGGGAGGAGGGGGCACGCTGCTGGAAAAAGATGGCGCTGGTATCTGCCACCCAACATTCGAGGAGCCATGGCCCTGGCAGGGGGGACAGGACAGAGACCCAGGCTGGTCCTTTCCTCACCTCAGGGGGACTTCACCCCTCCACCTCAAGTGTCCCCCACTCAGCCTTTGAACATCCATCAGATATCATAGCCCAGGGCCTGGCCTCCCTCCTGAGGCCTTCCTAGAAAGGTGAGGTACCCAAGGGGAGGCTTGGAGATGTCATAGGCATTACTTAGGGTCTTGATAGGTTCAAATCCTGACTCCAGCCATATGACTGTTGTCTCATCCATGTTAATAGTCCCTACCTCATTGACTGTCTCTGGAGCAGGTGAAAGCACATGTAACATGCTTCAGAAGTGCCTGGTCTATAACAAGTACTCAATAAATGTTAACTGTTGTGAATGCTGCCCAACTGGTCATGTGATGGGAAAACTGATCAATGTGCTTTTACACTTCCTCTGAGTGATGCGTTTCTCTACCTGGTCTTACTTCCTGCATGGTGCCGCTCCCAGCTCACACCCAGACTACGGAGGCTGCAGCAGTGCAAACTACCTGGTCTCCTTGTCTCCACCTCGCCGTCCACCTGCCAGTCGCCTGCCATGCAGCCACCCAAGTGGGCTGAGAAGGGTTGTGATCACTTCCCCCCCTCCACCCCATGTGAAAGACTTTGTTGTTCGCTGTCACCTGGGTCAAGGCTAGACTTCTTAGCCAGTCATTCAGGCCTGGACTACCTTCTAGTCTGCAGCTCACTGTTCTCTTGCTAGGACCTGACGCACCATCCACCCACTTTCCTGGCTCCCTCTCCATTAGCATTGAGCCTTTTTTGTTATTCCCCTTGCCTGGGCTGCCCACACCTTCTCTGTGGAAATCCATTAAAGCCCAGGCCAATGGTGCTGCTTGAAGCCTTCCTCAGTTTTCCTGGAGAGAGATGGTCCTTCTCTCCTCTGTGCTGTGGGCCTTTTCTTTGCCTATGTTTAAGGGTCTGTATCCCCATCTCCAAGTTCATTGCCTTTCAGGTCAATGTCAAGTCAACACTGTACCTGAAACTGAGCAAAGGCTGAGTGAATGAATGATGAATTGGATACATGAGTCTATGGGTGGATGATGGATGGATGGATGGTGTACACAACCACAGACCAGGACTATAGCTCCAGTGAGGCCAGTAGACTGCTGTCACTGGTGCAGGGAGGGTCTGTCCCAGGCTGCTCTAGAGGTGGGAAATTGCTGCTAGTCTTCTGATCTGTCCTCTCCTTACACCCATATAGTCCCCAGCATTGATTCTCTTCTTTGCAAAACTGACATATTTCCAATGTAAAGAGAAGAGACTTTTAGCTACTCAGACTCTCCCTAGGGGATGTGTCGGTGTGTGTGTGTGGGGGGGGGGGAATTCTTGGGACTCAGTTTAACTGTCCTTAAAGCCACAAAGAGGAGCCAGAGTCACTAACAAGATCTACTGGATGGCAGCATCCTTGGTGACCCAAACCAGAATAACCTTCCTCCGACCTTCCTTAAGCAGCTGGTCACAGCCTGAGGGCCATAGAATTAAGGTCATAGTGCCACCTGCTGGCCACAGAGAAGACCTATGAGATCTCAGAAAATCTGGGCTGCTGGTCCTAGGATTTCTACCCCCAGTATGAAGAGCCCAGGTCTTAAAGTTTAGCTCACCAAGGAACTAGGAAGTTCCCATCATGAAGGGAAGCTGGACCTCTTGCTAACCAAGTTCAGGAGGAACAGTGTGCCTCGGCAAACCCAGCACCTCCCAAGTCCCTGATTTGAAGCTGGCAGCAGGGTCACTGTTAAATGACAGTCTTGATTATGTCCAGGACACCCATGCAGTCACACGGACCTCTCTGACCTTTGACCCACATGCCTGGTGACCCCTCTATATTCACTTTTATTTTGCAGGAGGACTGCAGTCCTTGCCTTTGAGTCTACTCCATGCCAAGCCGAGAAGTTAACAATGCAGACTAAGGTCCTCAGCTCAGCACAGTGGCGTGACATGCCCAGGGCTTCAGTCACAGGAGGAGAGAACGGAGCCAGGATACCCTCTCCCTATTATGGGACTATTTGATAGTCTGCAAAAACAACCCTGAGCCACACTGGAAGTCCATCCAGGCCTGACACATGGGGGCTGACATCTCCAGCAGGTGTCACCATGAGGTCCATATGGAGCCCTCTGGGGAGACAATTCCCCAGCTTCTGTAGGACCCACCCACTGTCTCCCCACAAGTGACCTCCTCCCAGCTCAGTCCTCTGGAGCTCCTTCCTGACATCTTTCCTGGAGAGGCTTTCCTGGGGAACTTGCAACTAGAGGGGAGCATCGCTGGTCTCTGAGAGACCCCAGGCTTCTGAGGACACAGGTGTCAGACACTTCTTGTTGTGCAGGTGTTGACAGAAGACATGAATTCAGCATCAGCCATGTTCCCAGACTTCAGTGGGTCTGAAGACTCATAGATTTACCTCAGCTGGAAATGAGCTGTGGGACGGAAGAGCAATGGGATGGAAGCCAGAGCGTGGACTGGAAGAGGACTCTAGACTGGCAGCCTCTTGGCCAAACCCATCACCTGGCCTCACAGTCCCTCATGGAAAGGGAAACAGGTGCTTCCCATACTGCATTCCATGTCCACTCTGCACAGGCCCAGCTCTGGACTGACAAGAGCGGCAGGTGGCCTAGACTCACCAACACAAATCTCAAGGCATGAAGTTGTGCCTTTCCTCTGACCTCGAGTCTTCTCCAGCCTTGATGGTAAGGAACAAAAGGTTAGATTCCCATCATGCTCTGCCAAGGTCTCGCCCATCTTCACCTGCCCCTCTGCCCATCCTCACAGCACTGTCTGCGACTCTGTAATTCTCACCGATACAGAGAATTGTCAAGCTTTCTGTGATTCCTTAGTTCTCACTCCCTCAAAAGAAGCTTACCAAGGTCCCCAGACAACAGGATCCTAAACATCCAAGAATTACAGGTGGGGCACATCCTATATGATAGACACACATTAAATAAAAGGCCACTTTCCCCTCCTCCCTCAGCTACACAAATACCAGAGTCAGCTAGTCATCAAGTACATCCTAAGGGCTACTTATTAACTATGTCTTTTCTTAGAAACCTACTAGAAGGAAATGCCACTTTGTCTCAAAATTCCTGCCTGTCCGTGGCATTAATGACTCTACTAATAAATCTACTACTCAAAAGTGAAATTCAATTCGATGTCCCCTTGAACCCAAACCTTATACAGACATTTCCAGTTTCACAGTCACCCGGAGGAACAGCAGTGCACAGGTCAGCTCCACCACGAACTGCTCTTCTCCGCTCCTGGCTCAAGCTAACTCGTGTTAGCTCCGAACCTCACATCATGAAACCATCTCAATGGTTGTAGCACAAGCGTGTCCCAAACTCCCTCTCACCAGCATGTGACTAAAACAAAACAGACTCTGGGTAGCTCTGTTTACTCTGATTTCACTGGGTTAATTCCAATTCTAGCCAGATGACATCAGGAATAGGGAGAGGGGAGGAGTGTGTCAGGGTAACCCAGAGAGAAGCAAACACAATGCCATCTGCTGTACACGTTGATTCTTCTTTCTCAGAAATCAACAAGAAGGAAACCCCACTTTGTCTTCAAATTCCTGCTGTGCCTGGTTTCCACCCATCTCAGAAGTAGCATGAAAATCATCCCAGAGTTCTTCCTCACTAGGGGAAGCTTTGACAGTGTGCTCTGATGACCTTTCATGGGTCCTCAGGAAAGGCCATCCAGTTACTTAGGCATGGCTGAGAAAGCGTGGTCTCTGCAGTCTCCAGGTTAGAACTACCGCTGTCCATCTCCAGAGAGCCCTGAACGTGCCCTGTCCCTCTGTCTAATTCTTCAGCCTTCCCTCCCTGTGTCACTCTGGATCCTCTGGGAAGCAGCTTTCACAATGGAGTCAGAAATACAAGAGAGACTTGGGGGTAATTCCTGTGAAAAAATAGAGGGTTGAGGGAATAAGAGGAGAAGGGTTTCAGATAACAGTGAAGGCCGAACGGGAGAGAGACAGGAAGACGGGAGGATTGAGTAGGAAGAGCCAGGTGCTACAGTTTCACTTGGAGAAAGTCTCCATCCCAACAGAAAATGCCTTCTGTGTTCTGTCATTGGCTGAGGCTGTTGGGAAGGAGCACAGATTGCTGAAATGATACAGGAGGTCCTTGAGCTGAGGCTCCCTGGAGTGACATCAGCTGACTACAGTGCTCATGCTCTTTCTAAAAGGGGACCTCAGCAGCTTCCTTCACACCTACCATATTCTTGGTGGAAACAGCTTCCTCAGCAACTGAATCATTTACTTTTTGCTATGTAACAAGCCACCCTAACGATGGCCCTCTAAAAATATTCATTAGAAAAAATGACGCTAAAATTACTATAGAAATACAACAGACACAGAATGGTCAAAGCAATCCTGAGCAAAAGAGAAATGCTGGGGGCATCACATCACCTGATATCACATTGTACTACAGAGCCAGAGTAACAAAACCAACGTGTCACTGGCACAGACACACTCCTAAACCAGTGGAACAGAATAGGGAGCCCAGAAATAAACCCACACAGCTATAGCACCTGATCCCCAACAAAGGTACCACACATACATTTTGGAGAAAAGACAGCCTCTTCAGCAAATTGTGCCAGGCAAACTGGACATCCTCATGTAGAAGAATGAAACTAGATCCCTATCTCTCACCCTATATAAGACTAGACTAGAAATGCTTCAAAACCTGAATATAAGACCAGAAACTTTTAAACTAGTAGAGGAAAATATTGGTAGAGAAGAATACTTTCTGAAAAAGGAGTCCAATAACTCGGGAAAAAGTATCAAGAGTTGACAAATGGATTCCATCAAAAGCCTTCCAAGAAGCAAAGGAAACAAGTAGAGAGACAGTCTACGGAATAAGGTAAAGTCTTTCCAGCTATTCATCTGACGGGATTATTCAGAATGTATGAGGAATGTGGAAATTATAGCCAGAAGAACAAGTAATTCAATTAATGAATGAACAAATGAATGGAATTCCTAGTTCTCAAAAGAAGTACAAGCCAGGCATAGAGGCTCATGCCTGTAACCTCAGCACTTCAGAGGCCTCTGGAGGCAGGAGGATTACTGTAATTTTAAGGCAAGTCTAAGCTATGAGACTCTGCCTCAAAAGTCAACACAGCTGGAGAGAGACAGCTCAGTGATTAAGAGCACTATCTGCTCTTGCAGAAGACCTAGGTTTGATTCCCAGCACCCCATGGTGAGTAACAGCCATCTGAAACTCCAGTTCCAGGGGATCTGACACCCTCTTCTGACCTCTGTGGGCATTGCATGACACGGGTAAACTTGCACACATGCAGGCAATACAGTGCACCCATGTCACTTGCAGACATGTCATGCAGATATCAGAAGAAGGT